GAGGACCTCCCGATGCCTCTTTGTGTGGCTGCTGAACGGGGCCTTCAGGAGCTTCCAATATTCGCGCAACCCCGCGGAGACCATGGACCAAAATGCGAGGGTCGGGCAATGGAAGCTTTGAGCAACAGGGCCTCTCCGTGCAAGAGAGACAGTACGCCTTTGCAACATGGTCCCACGACCCAAATACTGGCGCGGTTCGCCCACCAGCGCACGGGCACGCGAAAGCAACAAAAGTTCAACAGCTCGGGACCACACGATGTACTTCATTCCAAGCTGGGGGGGGCAAACTCTCCACCGCATGCTGCGGCATGGCAGCGACGATGTCATCAGGGATCTGCATATCCCGCGGGAACAGGGTGGAGGAAGCCTCGGCAACATAAGAAAGCCAGAGATTACCAGGGCCAAGAGCCTCTGGGAACTTCAGGGGAATGCGCAACTGACAAACGGGGGTAGAGAGCGCATCGAAGCATCGAAGCGGAACACCACATCCAAACAAGCATGGGCCCTGAACGGAGATCGGGCGTCAGCCGATACCTTAACAGATGAGTACAAACTCACGCTACACACAACGTAGTCAATCATGGTCTCCCCCACATCACAGGTGAAGGCGACGTTATCTGGCACGATCGCACGGGTGCGAACCAGCCCAAGACAGCCAGACTCTTTTAAAAGCTCGGGCGCCACGCTGAAGTCCCCCATGAGGACCCAGGGCACCGCTAGGGCATTGACGAACTCCGCGACGGCACGGAGCCGATGGGTATAAGCCCCAGAGACACCGATGGAATCAACCAAGTAAATCACCCCCACGGCGATAGTACAGGACCGAAACCGCATCTCCAGGAAAAAAAAAAAAAAATCTCCGAAGCCGACCTGGACAACCTTGCTGGTCTGGATCAAAAACTTCTGGATGCATAATCCTGGCTGGACAACTGCACAGAGGCCACCATGAGTGCCCCCGCCTGGAGACGCCAACGCATCCTGGAAATAAGGCGACCAACGAAGCTGCCTGCAGAGCTCCGTGGCACGGAATATATCCGCATCACCCCGTAGATGATGCTCAGCCATAAATATACCATCGACCTCAGAAACCTTAGTGGAAAGGAAGTCCTGGGCCAACTTAGACCATCTAGTGATATTTACAAACTGGAAATGCACGCGTGCACGCGCATCCGCCTCCCCACTTGGGGCTGGGCCAGTACTAAAGCTGTTGCGGTGGAGCGGCTGCTCCAGGGACAAGATTATTAGCAGCTGCAGCACAGAAAGCACGGTACATCTCATAAGTCTGGGCCTCAGAGCGGCGCGTGCGCTTCGCAGCCCTGTTCTCCACGATGGTGGTGACCAGAGCCTGGCACCGCTGCGCCTGGGTGGCGTCGAGCCCCTGCTCCGCGGCCCGCTTCTGAGGTTGGCGAGCTCCCCCCTCTCGCCGAGGTCTCCTGCATCGCTTCCTGCGTCACTCGCAAGGTCTGCCTCGCCGCCCTGGCGACGTTTGACATGGACACGGAACTGCTTCCACTGCTCGAGCGTGATGGTGGTACAGTTGGCGAGGGACTCCAGTCGGGCATCATCCAGCTGATGCAAGCGAGACTCCAAATAGTTGAAATCAATACGAGAATCACGGACGCAGCACTGGATATTCTTGGGGAAGACGGGCACTCCTGCAGGAACATCATGAGCACGAGGGCCGTCATCCGATGCATCAGCCATTGCCACGTCGGGGGACTTGTCACCAGCATCACATCCGACTGGGCCACCTGCGACAGGGCCAGGCTTGGCTGGAACGGCGCCCTGGGCGCCTGCAGCCTGCGCCCGCTGGGCGGCCTGGGCAGCGGCCGCCGCCTGCGCCTGGGCCTGGGCATGACGCTGGGCTGCGATCTCCTCCTGCTTGTCCTTCTTGAACCGGTCGGGGTTGAACGCGACCTTGGCCTGCACTGCGGCCAACTTCTCCTGCTGGGCAGACTGGAGCAGACGCAAGGCCTCAGCATGGGCCTCCTCCAGTTCACATAGAAGGAGACGGGTCTTGTTGACACGGTCGAGCTTCCACTGTACATCTTGGTGAGCCAACCGTTCTGCCTTTGCAGCAGCTTCAACTTGACGGGCAAGCTCCGTCTGCTCCTGGGACGCCAGACGGTCGAGCTCCAGCGCGCTGTACTCGACGATCTGCTGGGGCTTGGGCACCGCGGCCTGCACCACTCCAAGCAATGCTGGGAACTGCTCCGTCCACATCTGGAGCTGCGCCACCAACTCAGCTGGCATGGCGATCGGCTGACCAGGCACTTGCCCGCCGTCGGCGGGGGTGCTCTGAGATGCAGCCCATGGCGCGGCATGTGCCTCCTTACTTTGAGCCTGGTATGGCCCCTTGCACTTGCTGCACTTGGAATGGCCCCACGTAGCATACTCACAGTGGCCGCATTGGGAGCAGACATTGTAGGAACGCCTCTGATTCCGTTGACTGGCCTGGTTCTGCTGCCAGCTCCAACGGCTCGTCCGTTCACGCCAGGGAGCACTCCTGCGCCACGCCATCGAACTCGGGGGAGAGCTGCCGTGATGTGCCTGCAGCAGATGCAGGTCGCGCTCACGGCGCAGGCGTCTCCGCGCCGAGGCTCTTGCGCGCCGCAGCCGACGGTGCCACGCGGGCGAGACAGATCGCGCGCGCGCGCCCGTCCCTGACGCGCCCCTCGGGGCTGGGGTCGTGGTCTGTCGGGCCGCTAGCCCAAAATGGGGCGCCTCGGACCACAACACCTGTGGAGGCGGGAGGAGGGGGAGGAAGGGCGAGGGGGAGGCGGGGGCGGAGGAGGAGGTAGGGGACAACACTCCTGCATGCCTGGCTATGCCGAGACAATGATAACCCTGAGGGGGCAGAGAAGGCGGTTGAGCTGGGACCAAGCGTCCCAGCATTTCGACAGGCCCACCAATAAATGTTCTCAGAACAGAAGAATGTTCTAAGAACAAAAACCACCTTCGTAGAACATAAAGCCGAGGAATCAAAACAAGACGGCTTCAGCCAGAAATGTTCTAAGAACAGCGTGTGCAAGCCACAAAAGGTTATTCAAAGAAGTCCTTGAAGAGGCCCATGGGCAAGCCAGACACTTCGCCAATGCTCGAGGCGGGGGCATCTGGGGTCGAAAGGAACGGGGGGCTGGCAAGAAGGAAGCGCCACGTCGACGTCAACTGCGCCGGCCTGCGCTTCTGGCGGAAGCAGGGCAGGGAACACTCGTTCCGGGAGAGAGGGGGTCCGTCCGAGGAGGACGGGGCAAAGAAGCACCCGCACTGAGAGCACCCACGTAGAAAAGAGGCCCCGAGGACGCAAGAGCTGCCCATCGACTCTGTCTTGGGCGGCACGCCGGGGGTGGGCGGGGGGAATAAGAGGCGGCAGGCCCACTTTTGGAAGGCGGCGGGGCCACTCAGAGGCCCGCCGGCCTCCTGGGCAGCCCTCCAAGGCTTTGGAGAGAGCTCACGCAGTCTCTCCGAAGGCCAGAGGCCTTCGGAGCCCTCCGGGAAGGCCCGCCCCCTTCTGCCTTCCCCCCCAGGAGCGCGCCGCCGAGGTCAGTCGAACGATGTCCACTACTCCGCCTTCTCCTCCTCCAGGGTCTCCAGGCCCCTCGTCTGGTTCGCCGCCCGCACAGTCCTCCTCCTCCTCCTCCTCCTCCTCCTCCCCGCTCCCTCCTCCTCCTCCTCTCCTCGTCTCCTCCTCCTCCTCCTTTTCCTCTGCTCCTGCTCCTCCATCCTCCTCCTCCTCCTCCTCCTCCTCCTCCTCACCCTCCCGCCCTCCCCCTCCTCCCCCCTCCCTTTTCCTCCTCCTCCCTCCTGCTCCTGCTCCTGCCTCCTGCTCCTGCTCATGCACTCATCCTCCTCCTCCTCCCCTCCTCCTCCTCCTCCTCCTCCTCCTCCTCCTCATGCTCCTCCTCCTCCTTCTCTCATCATTATCATCCTCCATCATCCTCACATCACTATCACAATAACCATCACCATTACCTTCATCATCATCATCACATCATCATCATACATCATCATCATTCATCATCATCATCATCATCATCATCATCAGGGCAGCAGCAGCGGCAGCATCATCATTCATCATCATCATCATCAATCATTCATCATCAGGATCATCAATTCATATCATCAACATCATTCATCATCCTCATCGATCATCATCATCATCTCATCATCAGCATCATCATCATCATCATCATCATATCATCAGCATCAGCAGATCAGCATCATCATCAGCATCAACATCATCATCATCATCATCATTCAGCATCATCATCATCATCAGCAGCATCAGCATCAGCATCAGCATCATCATCATCATCATCATCATCATCATCATCATCATCATCCTCGTCATCATCATCATCATCATCATCATCATCATCATCACTATCATCATCAGCAGCATCACCATCATCATCATCATCAGCAGCATCATCATCAGCAGCATCATCATCATCCTCATCCTTATCCTCCTCCTCATCATCATCATCAGCGTCGTCATCATCATCATAACCAGCATCATCATCATCAGCAGCAGCATCATAATCAGCATCATCAGCAACATTATCATCATCATCATCAGCATCAGCATCCGCATCAGCATCATCATCATCAGCAGCAGCATCATCAGCAGCAGCAGCAGAAGCAACCGCATCATCATCAGCATCAACATCAGCATCATCAGCATCATCAGCATCATATTATTCTTCATCATCACCATCATCATCGTCGTCATCGTCATCTTAATCGTCACGACCAGAATCAGCATCGTCATCATCAGCATCGTCAACATCATGGTCATCATCGTCGTCATCATCGTCATCATGGCCATCATCATCACCATCATCATCACCATCATCATTATCAGCATCAGCATCCTCATTATCAGCAACATCATCATTACCATCATCATCTCCAATCGCCCCACCGCCTCGAGGGTCCGAGAGGGGCGGTCCCTGCGGGGCTGCTCCGACGACGCGCGCGCGCGGGCGCAGGGCGGCGTC